TTCTGGCTGATAACCAATAAAATGGCAGATATGAAAGAAAGAAAGAAAGAAAGAAAGAAAGAAAGAAAGAAAGAAAGAAAGAAAGAAAGAAAAAGAAAGCTACAAGTGAATTTAGGCATCTCAAAATTAAAATGCACAGTGTGAAAAATTTATATTTATTTTGAGATTTGCTAAAGATTACATTTAACAGTGTTATTGAATTATTAGTGTTTTTAAAGATTAACTTTAAGTAAGCATGATGCTTGCACAAGTTTTGAAATGTAAAAATAGTAGAAGTGAGCATGAACAATTAAATATCCAATATTGGTTGATATCATTAAATAAAAAAAACCTCTAATATGATCCGATAAGTGGTATACGGTACTAATGTATCCTGCATTCCTAATGAAAATAATTCTAAGTGAAGCTAAAAACAACTGTAAAAACAGCCTGGCTGGAATGTGCAAACAATGACACGAGCACTACTACAAAAAGTGAAATTTTCTGCAATTTGACTTAACAACAGCGCTCTTAAAACAGCACTCAGCCAAACAAATTGGAGGACTGGTACTAACTGTTTTATAAGAATGATTAACATGCCACACACAGGCAAACAAGGAGGGTTCTGATGCAAAGTCCAAGATTATTTGTTCTGGGGCATATCAAAAGCCTCCAATTTCCTTGTCTGTCTTTTGAGACATGAATAACATTATTTAAAAGTCAGCATTAGGCAGAATGCCTTTGGGTAGATCTTCACAATGAGTCAACTCTTCCAAGTTCTTGTTTTCCTCCTCCCTCTCTCTCTCTCCCATAAGCAGCAGCGGAGTGATTTCAATCATTTCGTAACCTCCCAGCAATCATGGCTTTAACTCCCCTGTTATTTAAAACAATCTGAGCTCTGAACGCGAGTTAATCACTGCTTATACAACATCAGTCAGGGTTATTCATTCTGTTCCAATTAATCATGCCATTTATCTACATTGTCTGAACCTTCTGCTCAACAAATTCATCTGTAATGACACAGACAATTCACATTGTTGAATTTTATCATGTATGTGGCAAACGGCGGGCAAATTGCTCGAGATTACTTACGCATTTGTGTATGCACTGCTGTGTGCGTCGATTTCGGCGAGCATAAATTCAGCGCCATCTGGTTTTGGCTCTTTACTGCTCGGCTCTCTCACTTAATTAACTGGAGGCCATTACATTTCCTGAAATGTTTCACTTTCTCTGGTTCATGTCATGCAGGCAGGCAGGAGGGGAGCAGGGAAGGACTCAATTAGACCAACACCGCTCCCTGGATATTACACACTTGGTGTGTGCCAGTTAAGGGGGCGTGAGGCTGAGGCAGGGCCTGGACGTCTCTCGCTGCGCCTACCCTGTCAACACAGATAAAGGCCTGCCTGTCTGCGTTAGATCCCGCCCACACACACGCATTCAGACAAGCTCCAGCTGCCAAAACACTTCATACCAACCAGCAGAGAGCTAGGCATACATAAAGAATTAATACTACCCAACAAAGACTGCAGCTACTTGCCACATATATGCTATTTAATTAGCCTGAGAAAAAGCTAAATTGTGGCTGTCAGTTTAACAGGAACTACAGCAGCTATATAAATAGTGTGGGTGAAAAGAATCTGAATCTGAACAGCATCAGTGTTTAATTTCCTGGCTGGGCTGCATGACAATATACAGTACAAATCGCAACACTAGAAATCGGTCGAGATTTATATTACAGCAGACATTTATGCAGATATCAGTGGGCAGGACTGCTTTATGTAATTTATACACGATAACAACAAAGAAACATGAAAATACAGTGCATATCTCAAAATGAGGAAGAACTCGACTCTGTTGCCATTTCGGGCTTGAACTGATGGTAAAACTAACGACATTATTAACTGTCTTGATATTTACTTTGAAAGCTGACACTCGCGATTATGGGAAGGGGCGTTACATTTCCGATGCGTGCTTGTGGTGTTCGGCCAATCACAATGCATTGGGTGAGCTGGCCAATCAGAGCAGACTGCGCTTGTCAAAGGAGGGGGCTTTGTTGAAAACGACGTGTTTGAGAGAGGCGGGGCATAGAGGGCCTACAATAATGTACAGTATTTGAAAAATAATGTGTTTTTTGAACATTAAAGCATGTCAACATATTCTGTTACACCAAATACACAAAATAATGATCTTTAAAATAGCATCATATGACCCCTTTAATATAAATTCAACTGTTGTGCGTGCAGAACACATTGGCTATTTTTTAAAGGAGCTTCCAACGTGATTCACCCAATCAGAACTCAGAGATTTGTCACATGACTTCACTTTGTACATTTTTAATTTGGCAATTGGTGTGCGGAGTCACTTTTTGTGCTTTTTAACTCGATTAATTTTAAACTAAAGTGCTACATAACATTAACTATTATTATTATTATTATTATTAATTTCTGTCGACCTAAGTTTTAAATTAATGGAAAATAATTAAGTACTTTTCATACACTACCACTTAATTTTTTTCTTTAAAAAAGTCTCCCATGCTCACCAAAGGCTGCATTTATTTACTTTTATTTGTAGTGAAATATAACAATTTAAAACAACTGTTCTCTACTTGAATATGTTAAAATGTAATTTATTCCTGTGATGCAGAACTGAATTTTCAGCATCATTACTCCAGTCTTCAGTGTCACATGATCCTTCAGAAATCATTCTAATATGCTGATTAGGTGCTCCAGAAATATTTAAACATGTTGTGCTGCTTAATATTTGTGATGAAACTAATTTAAAACCATGAATCACATTATCTTTTCCCCCAGAATTCTTTGATAAATACATATTTTTAAAACTTTACTTGAAATCATAAATGTCAAGTATTTTTACTGTCACTTTTTTCAATTTTACATTTTTAAAGTGTCCTTGAATTCTTGTCTTACTGAAAATCCTATTGGTAGTGTGGAAAAAGCACCATGCAAAACAAACAAACAAACAAAAATATATACAGTATATTTGCATATATACATACATATACTGCATACATACATACATACATACATACAGTGGAGATCAAAATTAGAGAACAACCTACAATTTCCTAAATTTCAAGGTCACTGCTTTGTCCTATTTGAAGTCATCCTAACAAGAGTAGAAGGCAGTTTTTTTAAGAATATTTCATAAATTCATTGTATTCTGAAGCACAGTATAAAAAACTTAAATGAGATATTTGAAAAAAAACTGATCAAAATTAGAGGACACTTACAGATACCTCCAAGTTCTTGGTGTTAATCTGGCACCTAGTGCTAGTTTCCTTAATTATATGACAAATCCTATTTAACTGGCAGCATTCCTCTAATTTTCACTGAGATTGCAAGATGGCGGGCCGCTCTGAGGTGACTGAAACCCTGCGACAGGAGGCAGTCCAGATGAAGACCAAAGAGATGACACTTTCAGCTACTGCAAGAGAAGTTAGTCATTCCAAATCTATGATTTCTCGAATATTGCACCTTTACAATGACACTAATTCAAGTCCCCCAAAAAGGCTGGTCATCCACGTAAGACAAATGCAGGAGAAGACAGGATAATGCGGAGACTCTCAATGGGGAATCGGTTCAACGCTGCAGCTGGAATTGCTTGCCAGTTCAGTGCTGAACAGTATATGGATCTGTCTCGGCACGTTTAAGAGAAGTCCGACTGAAAGCACACTCTGCAGTGATGAAGCCTCTCATCAGCAGAAAGAATCAAAAGGATAGGCTCACCTTTGCTGAGGAGCATGTTGTGTGGACAGAGAAGAACTGGTCTAAAGTCCACTTTAGTGATGAGAGCAAGTTTAATTTATTTAGGTCTGATGGGAAACATTTTGTTCGGCTTCAAACTGAGGAAGCCCAAGTTTATAAAGAAGTCAGTGAAAGGTGGAGGAGGAAGTGTCATGGTTTGGGGGATGTTTTCTGCATCAGGAGTTGGGCCTCTTATACAACTACATGGAAGGGTGAATGTAAATGTTTATCAGAACCTCCTTCAGCAACATGCAGTTCCTTCCCTGCAAGCATCTCCCAATCAGCCTGCAATTCATGCAAGTCAATGCCCCCATAACACTGCAAAATGGATAAAGCAGTTCCTTGAAGCTAAGAACACTGAAATAATTAAATGGCCGGGCCAGAGTCCTAATCCAAACCCGACTGAAAATCTCTGGAAATTCCTTGGTGACAAAGTTATGGCTAAGAAACCCAACACAGTTACCAAACTATGGAAGAGACTGGAAGAAGAGTGGACCAAGATCACACCAGAGCAGTGTGAGAAGAAACTAGTGATGTCCTCCAGCTGCAGATGAAGTCCTCTACACTTCCTACTAATTTCTGACAGCTGCAATAGACACACACACACACCATATATTTATATATATATATATATATATATATACACACACACACACACATATATACACATACATACACAAACACACCGTTACCATGAAATACATTTTCTCACAACATGTGAGAGTTTTTGGTCATACCACCCTTACCCATATGATGAAAATAAGTGCTGAAGAGATATTTAGATATAGAAGTAAAGCTCTAACTTGTTAGGTCTGACTCTCAGCACAAGTCAAACACCTTTACCCCACACTGCCAGTCTGTAACACCTCCCCTCTAGGCCTCTACCCGCACATTCAGAGCGTGGACCTGAGACCACGATGACTCAGAACATTACTCCGGTGTCTGCGTCTCAAATGCTGAGGTAAGAGGCTGTTTATGGCCCAGTCTGCAGGCAGTCTGAGTAGTGTTACACTCACAATGAGTACAGTCAGTGCTGGATGACAATGCATTTGATGTGAGATGACTATTCTATGTGTATGAATACAAAAATATAAAATTTGTAATTAAAATCAATTTCAAATTTGAATCCATTTGAGTCCATAGTGTTTTTTTCCATACTATGGAAGTCAATGGGGACCAGCAACTGAAGGTGAACTATCCCTTTAAATGCTTTCACATATACTTTCATGCCGTGCGTGTCCACACAACCATGCTCACCGTCTCGTTGCCAAAAAGGATGTCCACATAGGGCATAACCTTCATCAGGGCCTCCTTGAAGAACTCACAGATGAATGGAGCTGACAGATTTAAGCAGAAGATCTTGTTGTTTTCCGAAGCGTGTTTGGCTACTTTCAGGATCGACTCCAAGGATACGGTCAGGAAGAACCCCTTCAGAAGAAGACAAAAATTATAGTCAAAAATTTAACCACATATGACTAGAGCTTTTGAAGCTTCTATATCAGTAAATCTCAGCATTACAACAGAACAAAAAGAAAGAGAAAAATACATGTTCCTCCTCCAAGTGAAGTAAACATGGCTAAGCTTGATATAATGGAGAGTATGATGAGGCACAAATAGGATTAAGGTTTTAGGAGATGAGAATGAATGATGACAAACAGAGTCCATAATTGCGTTGGTGCTTCCATCAGAGAGCAGGGAGAGTTCACAAAGACAATCCAATACAACAAAGGGCACCTTGGCCCACCTCCTCACACAGGGACAACTGCAAGGTCACACGACTCTCTGAGGAGCACTTATACAGCTCGTTTATGCCTATGCTACTACATTGTTTTTGTGAACATTTGTTCTTTTACAAACTGGAGAAGCCTTTTTGTTAAAAGTAAATTAAAAGATGTCTACTTATATATTACAATAAGAGAAGACAAAAACAAAAAGGTTTTGACTGCAAGTTAATTAAGTGTTTTTACTTATATTTTTTAAATGATAATAATAAAATAAATAAATAAAATAACATGCACTGGCTGGGACAGTGTCCTGGCATAGTAATATAATAGTGTTAGATGGTAATACATTGATACTTCAATATATAAGAGCCTAAAAAAAAACTTTTTTATTAAATAATACCATGATACTTCAATTATATATAATAGAGCAAATACAACAACAACAACAACAACCTTTATATTAAAAATAAAAACATTTAAAAAATATTAAAATTCATATTAAACCTAATTAAATTAATTAAATAATAAAACACACCAAATAAATTAACAATAAAATAATGAAATAAAATACAATAACATTTTTTATGTAATAAAATACTGGCCACTGTGGCAGTATCCTGGTATCAGATGGTAATACTATGATACTTCAATTTATACCATAGTGTAAAAAACCTATGATTCCCATTGTACCAATCATAAAAAAAACATGTTCATATCACAATTAGAAAACTTGCATTTTGTATGAATTATAGGATATTTGTAAGCCATCCAAAAACAGTTTCCCAAGTGTATTATGCTCCCAGAGAGGCAGTCTGAAGACATGATGTAATTTTCCCCTTGCTTGCATAGCACGGCCTAAGAGAGCCATTTGAGCTTAGGATGCTGGCTGCTCTCCAGCTTTTGTTCCAGAAAGACAGGAGTTAAAAAAAACCTTGCTTGCATTTGATGAAGTGGAAAACAAAGGTCTTGTCTGGACTTTTCTTACCGAGAAACAAGAGAGGCTCCTCAGTTCATTGTGTGAATGAATACAGACTTGGAAACGAAACACCTTCACGTTTAAACCTGAAAGCCTACACTGGGCCTTCGATACAGTTCTTCTTGCACTGAGAGAAAAATTCAGAGATACAGTGTAGGTGAGATTAAGGGGGATAGGAGGACAAGGAGAGGGAAAAAATAGAAATTAGAGAGAGAAACACAATAGAGAGAGTGTGTGAATGAGAGAAGGGTGCACCGCTAGAGGAGCGCTGGATTTTACTAACACTCAGAGCACTCCATTAAAACAAATGAGGCTTTTGTAGCCGAGAGTGGAGAGAAGTGACCTTGATGTGTTTAGTGTGACTGTATCAGCCATTACACCGATCTCACACAGGAATCTGAGAGGCTTGTTCTGCCATCAGTCATTTGGGTACACATTATGCTACCATCACCGACTACAGATGATGACATCTTCACCAATCTGAAATACAGCACATAGATGAAAAGAAACCTGTAATATGGCAAATAAACTCTGTAAAGAAATAATGACACAATTTCTGCCCTTCACACAAACTCTAAAAGAAGGAAAAATCGTTTCTAGGGGCCAAGAATCCAAAAATTCACAGCCAGTGAAATATATATATATATTTTTTATTAATTATATAAATATTACATGATGTATTTTTACATTGT